ATTACAATTCCAGCATTGTCTGTCAGTTTTTAAATGAATGGATTCAATTTCGAGTTAATTCATTTTAAAAACTATTAATTCATTTTAAAATTAATAAATTAATTCAAAATTTTGAATTAGCTCAATTTAAAATTAATTACTTGAAAAAGTACAATGTTATATTGTTCATTATGATATATTAGGAAACCTGTCATATGAAAATTAAATTTTTGATGTATGTAGTAGCATTCATCATTTTTTTACTATTATTAAATGTTGTCATTGAATTTTTTTTACGAATTTGAATTTATTTGAATTTATTTTTTATGGATTGGAATTTTTTTTTTAGAAAATGATTTTTTTTCAAAATTTCTAATCTACTTACTGCGCATTACTATCATTATCACTATCATTATTTTTGCCGCTACCATTACTATTCTTATCAATTGTTATCTTATCATTCGCCAAATGTATTGGCAAACAAACAGTTTCGCATTTCTCCGAATAAATTTCTCAAAGAATTTTGTCGTACTTGAATTAATTAAAGAGCGAGTAGGGCAAAAATGGCGGATTTGAAAACAAATACGATATTTAAACAAATAATTGGTAAACAGATATAAATATTACATATACAATGTTTGGTGATAATCCTTGACATTTTAAAAAATTAAAAATGAATAAAAATAAATGATTTTCCTTGATAAAAAAAAATCATTTGTTTTTTACGCCCAAAGGGTTTTTTATTTTGTTTTTTTGCCGCATGGCTGATTATAAATATTGATCTCCCTTTGAAGCAAATATGCAGGGCCGAGAGTGTTTAAGACCAAGAGAAATGTAGGGAAAAGGTGGGAAAAATAGAAAATGCAATTTTTTTAAAGTTATTTTTATATTTTTATTCCATTATTTATTTATTTGTTGACTTGTCAAAATAGGGCATCACACACACATACAATGACCGATCGAATGAATGAATGCTAAACGTTAATGATGTTTCTAAAATTAGCAGTGAAGCGTCATTTTGCCAAAAATTTATTTTAAGAGTGGCAAACTCTACGTTTCATTTTATCTTGATATAGTAGAGATTCACTATATCGAACACAAATACGTAACACGTTATATATAGTTTGTGGTCATTTTCTTTCTATATAATGAAAATCATACTCGAAATTTCATTCGTAAATTTTATTCATATCATATTCAGGGAAAAAACCGTAACTCTTTCCTAGTGGAAACAACCCATTCATGTTAAATTTTTTCTCTCTCTCCTTGTATAAGGATAAGGAAGGTCACTCTACACATAGTTTAAGTTACTCAACACCTAGTAAAGTTAATTGTTACTTAATAAAACTTTCTAGAATTGTCTTGTTATTTAGAAGAATTTTTTTTTTTATCAATTTAAGGTTTAAAAAATAACGTTACACGATTTTTGAGAGTAATAAAAATAGAACGTTACCAAATTTAGTAAAAACAAATGAGCCTTAGCTGGCTGGGTTTCTGTTGGCTAGGAAACTTTCAAAAATTAATGGCTAAATTTTTTTTCTACCGACCAAATTGAGTAGTACCAATTTATATATATTAAGAGAATAAGTGAATTTCGTACATAAAAATAAAAATTTTATATCGTTATAACAATCTTGGTTTATTTGATTTAATTTTAAACAAAAATTTATAATAAAAAAAAGGTTGTTTTGTTGCTTGGCAAGCCATGATGATCAAAAAATTTACCAAATTAAAAAAGATCTACTATATACCAAGAAGATCTGCATTTTTGCTACCACGTAATTCCCCACCTGATTTTTTGCTTGTTTACGTGAATTTATATTCTCGTCCCATATGTCAACCAGCAGAAAAAAATAAAATAAAATTAGTGTGGGGTTTACTAGTATTGATTGTATGTGAAATCAGATTATGTGAAGTGAATGTACGAAATTCCCTTTTATTCTCCAATTTAATTCTTACACATGTTAATTACAAATTTGCATCGATTTTATTTCCATACACAACATTATCAAAAATCCTTTTTGGCCGTCTGCGGTTTCTAATGCATACTATATAGATCTGTTAGATCAATTAGCCCCTGATTAAGATTGTTGTATCAAAAAGACAACGATTATTATTACAACTTTAATTTATTGCTAAATAACAATAGTCACAACAGTAACAATAAGCCCGAGTACAAGCTTTAATTAATTTATGCGTTTTTTTCTAGCGGAAAAAGTACAAATATGATATTACAATAACGAAAGCCAATGCATGATGATATCACAAAAGGAAATGAATCATAAGTATGTAATGAATGAAAGTAATAGATTATTTCGTTAGAACTTTTTAAAAATAAATAATATCCGCAATTAGTATCAACAGGTAAGATACAATGCAATATGTGATGCATATATGCAGCACAAAACTCGGTCACGTACTAAATTGGTCTACAAGTGGTAAATACGATGACTAATAGATAACAAAAATAAAAATAGTTCGCGTTATTTTCTCAGATTGGTCTTGTTATTCAGAACGCCGCACGCGACACTTCTTTTATTTACTGTAGAAATGTATCAAGGAATTGTTAAAAACAATTGTTAAGGATGTGCGTTTATGTGATTATTGGTTGAATTTTTGGTTAAATGATAATAATTAAATAAGTGATAATTAAATTTTGATTAAATGATAATAATTAAATAGTGTTATCATTAAATGATTAAATAATAACAATAAGACAGTGATAGTGTTATTATTATGACAATGTTTGGGAATTGGGGGTTAAAAAAAAAAAAAAAAAAAAAAAGTTCACAAAATCAGGAAAAGTCAAATTACTCGTAGGATACGGAATAGATCAAATATGTAAATGAATGAATAAATGGATTGGATTAAAAATTAACAAGACAATCATTCAATAGGAAGAAAGAAGGTGGAAGAGGATACGAGGTTAGCTTTAAAAAGAGGATAACAAGATAGTTACATGATTATTTGTTTCTTTAATTATTACTTTATATGCAAATTATATTATATTCGCATATTGTTTCTATTGTATGTACTAAATCGAATTTTAGATCAATTTTTTTTTGTAATACAAATGAAGTAGTTGTTGTTGTTAATTGTACGTTTTATGAAAGTTCCTGAAACACAATAATAAATTATGCTGACGTTGTTGATTATCATACGCGATCTAATTATTTTTCTTTTGGTCATTCGCCGCTTCCGTCTTCGCTCCATTGCTGCTGTTGTAGATAAAATTTTATTGATTAACTATATATATAATATCTATATTAAACACACTGTATATTACATCATCACTAAATATACTGTATTATGTCATGCACCTATATATATATATATATATCACTACTATAAGTATTATATAATGGGAAAGATACTATAACAAATTAGACATATTATTGTTACATATTTAGGTATTGATTGCCATTTAACCACTCTTAAAAGATGCTAATAATAATCGTATTTTATTTGGTTTTAAAACCGCCATCATACATATGTACATATGGACTGTCTTTTTTGTTGTTATTGCTTTTATTATGTATAATAAATAGTTTTATTTATAATATTGTGTTATATTGCATTATATTATTTTATATTACATTAATTTTATTTGATGCTGGTTACTTTTTTGTTTTGTTTTGCATTTACATTTATATATTATTTCCAGATTAATAAGCGATAAATAAACAAAAATGTTTAGGTTGATAATATTACGAAATCTGCAGTTCTTTGGTCAATTGGTTAATTAAATTTTTTATTTTTAATTTTTTAAAAAATTTCCATGTTGTTTTTTGATTTAGTATATACTGGTAAATTGAGTGTTTACAATTTTTCATTCGTTAATTCGTTTCGTTTCAAGTGTTTGTTGAATTTCGTTCAAAGTAATTGCCAAGAGTAAAATCGGTTATTATCACCGGGGGCTTCTTTTCCTTTTTTTTTTAGGAAAAATAAAATGTTTTTTTTTATTTGACAAAAGAAAAATTGCAACGAAAATGTCATGTCATGTCATCTTTTTATATATTTCAAGTTGTTTAAAAATATGCTAATGTATCAATTTGAAAATTGTCTAAATATGAATAAATTTAAAAAAAAACACGTAACTCTTACCCAAATTTGAACAAAAATTAAATTACCAGCATCAGTGTTTACATTACATACTTAAATAATTGATATTATTTTTTTTTCTACTAATAAAGTATATATAATTAAATATTTCTGTAAATCTAATGGTATTTGAAATATCGAAATACCCTTAACGAGGTTCAAATTCAAATTCGAAATTAAATCAACTATTTAAATTAAATAATGAATACTTTTTTTGGCTTCTTTGAATAATAATAATAATAATTCTACAATTCAAAAATGTCCGAAGACCACCAAACATTGCATAAACAGCTTTGTTTGTTGTTGTTTTTTAAATTATTAAATATTTCTTTCTTTATCCCACATTGTAAATAATGCCATTATGATCCAATACATTATTAACCACGGTTTTATAGTTTTAACATCATTTGTTTTAATTGCTTTGAATGATGCATATGTTGTATTTACCTTGTCCAAAAATATCATCTCATTAAATAAAAAAACACGCCATTTTTTAAAAGGTAAACTTCTAGAAATTCAAATTTCGAAATGTTGAAAATCTTATTATAATTATCGAAATCATCATGTATAGCATTGAATTTTTTATGGAATCCTTTATATATATAATTTTTCTCTTCATCATTCATAATGAATGAACCGGTTTCATTGTGGTGGAATTCGTTTTTTGTTTTGATTTATTTACAATATCATTAACTTCAACAATGATACACCATCACTATTGAGATTTATTAGATTGGCTAAAGATTTTTTCTGGATAAATAAAAATTTTATCCTTGCGTTATTAATAAGATTATCGAATGATACAACTAACGATCCCTATTCCTATAGTTGCTTTATGTTCTTTATCTATACTTTTTTTTATTGCTATTACCAGTTCACGTTACTACTATTAGTAATAATAGGGGCGGTATTATTATTATTTATTCACTTCTTCCATCACCACTTCTAATGCCACCGCCACCATCAATATCTGGTATATAGAAATAGTAGATATGATTGATGTTATTGACTTATTATGCTTGAATTTGTATTTTTTTCAAAAATAGTATTTTTAAACATAATTTTATTAATACAGTATTTGCAAAATACAGCATTGTTTTCCATAACAAGATTATTAAAATATAATATATGAAGAAGCACTAATAATTAAAACCGCCAAAAAAAAAATAGTCTTAAGTAATAAAATTAAAATCTTGGTCATAATTAAAATAATTAAATTTAACGATTGTTTGTTGTTTGTTTGCGAATTTACGATTCTAATATCAAAAAAATAAAAAATAAAATGTAAACGATTTGCCAAAAAAAAATTATAAATGTTTACCGATATCCAACTTTCGAGTTGGATATTTAATTGAGTCCATTAAAATAATTAAATTTAACGATTGTTTGTTGTTTGTTTGCGAATTTACTATTCTAATATCAAAAAAATAAAATAAAAAATGTAAACGATTTGCCAAAAAAAAAATTATAAATGTTTACCGATATCCAACTTTCGAGTTGGATATTTAATTGAGTCCATATTTGTCTGCCAAAATAATAAATTCGTTTGTGTATTCAAGGCTGGAATCCCTCCAAACATTAGTAAAAACTTTTGCGAATTCCGCATTATTAATATTAAAATCAGGAGTTTGTTGTGCGAGTTCGTTTAATAAGGTAAGATAGAAAAGTAGTTGGGCAGGTGGTAAATCTGGATTTGTGTTGTTTTCAAGAAGTCTTTGTACCTTTTCAAGTTCAGGTACATAAATATTAATGGTTTTGCCACTAGGTAACTTTGCAATAGTGGAAAGAGTTGAATTTTTATTTATTATATTGGGAGTTGGTTGCAAATAATAATTGGATTGATATAAAGGAATGTTATTGTCACAGTCGTTGCCATGATCAGGGGTAATCTGAATTTCAGGAGATGTCACAGAAGTATTGATTTTAAGAGGTAATTGTAATAATTGAGGTTGTTGTAATGTTTGTTGTGGTGAATCAAAGCAACAATTATTATTATCCGACGTTTGATTGTAAATTGGATTACTGGTATTGTTATTATTGTTATGAATGTCCTCTAAATTATCGTCATTTTGTTTTTGAGAATTGAATCCAAATGCATCTGGTAACCATATTGGTCCAGAGAATTCAACGTTCTAAATGAATATTATTACATATAGAAAATCAATAAATGAAAATGAGAACATTGATTACATGAAACCAAATATCTGCATTAATACCTTTGTAGTATTAGAGTAACAAGGATGAAATTCATTAGAAATTCTTTGATGAGGTTGTTCCGATCGTAATTTATCATTTAAAAAGTGTTCGTTATTATTAATACTATCATTATTGCCGTTGCCGTTACAATCGATGCTTGTATTAATAAATTTATCCACATCATAAATCAAAGATTGTGAAGGAGAACAAGAAGTGTATTGGCAGTTATGTTTTGATTTGGCACAAGCTGTGCAAGATGGCACCAATCTATCACATTCAACCTTTCTGCATTTAGAGGACACGCAAACTCGATTTGAATAACCCAAAGTTGCCGCCATTGGATATGGTAGTGGTATAGTTAAAAGTAAAAGTTTTTTTGTTATATAATAGCTAAAAAGGATTGGCTTGGAGTTTGTTACTGATGTTACAATTGTAATTATTGTCGCGATCGTATTTTTTTTTTTTTTTGAAAAATTTAAAAAGTCGCATAAAGCCGCGTTATCTTAAAATAATTAGCAAAAAAAATTATTAGCCAATCAAATAATTAATAAAAATAAAATAAATAAAAAATATAAAATACTAACAAAAAATAATTGACAATAATTAATTATTCAATCCAAGTTTGGACTCATATTTATATTAATTTTATAAAATATAAATATGCATAAATGCGTAAAGAAAGATAACATCTTTATAATAATGATATTAGCGACAATAGTGAACTTGTGGAGAAAATCAACTGAGTCGTACAAAAAACAAAATCGTAAATATTTGAATCAATGTCAATTGCGATAACACTGCAAAAACATGCCGATCATTAAATTAACTGCGGATTATTGTATCCATTTGTTGATGATTTTATAACATTAACAAGATCATCTAAATCATCAACTTCAGAATTTTTAAGTTTCAATTTCAACAATCCAAAAAAACTAAATAAACTAATGCAGATTTCTACAAATTTAGAAACTATCTCCAGAAAACTACTATATACGATGTTACACCCGCACATTGAATTCTGATGAAAATTTTTAATTGACGATCCGTCTATGAATGAGTGAGTTGTACATAGTGATCGGCGGGGGAAAATTGACACAAAAATGTCCAATTCGATAACTTTGCACGAAAAGTTGTATTATGCTTTTGTTCCACTACATAATTTTTTTTACAATATATATATGTAAAAAATCTCAAATATTATTGATATATAATTTTTTTGTTCATTGTATTTAAAGAAAAAAAGCTTATAATGAGGGATGTAGAATTTTTTGGTCCTTTTGATATATAAATTATCATGTAACATCATTCATATTTGAATACAGAATTATTATTATTATTATTATTATTAATACTTCATAAACAATTGCCTAAGTAATTTATTTTGCCATAGATTGAAGTAAGTTGATTAGCTTTGATGTATATAGTCTTAGTTTCATGAATTATATAAAATTTATTTTGAAATTAATTTTATTAATATTAAAATAAGAGAAGCTTATATTTCCAGGAA